TTGATTTAGTTGTTTTTTTATAGAAATAAAGAAATAATGTGATACAATAATGTGATACAGTAATTTCATACAGTGTGCATACAGTAACTATATTTTGTTCAATATCCAATACTATTGCACACATGTCACACGGACAGATGACTTTTTAATCAACACTTATAATTACTCAAATTTCAAATGTTTTATTAAAAAAAACCTACTTTATGGAAAAAAATATCTTATACCTTTATTATTTAATTTTATATGAAGTTTCACGTTGCAATATATTACCTTCGAATTTTGGAACACTTTGTATATTCATATATATTTATACAATTGATATACAATATATACAGTGATAAACGTATAATGAGAGATAGATAGATATTACATTGAGAAAAAATACATCTAATCCCATAATAACTTATTCATATCGGATAACTTGTCTCTCTTAATCTGATCTAAAGTTATTGTCAAGTTATTAATTTTATCTATCATCACTTGCAATTTATGTTCTTGCGTCTTCAATAATTCAGTGGTTTTCAAGAAATTCTTTTTAAGCATTGCTGAGTGCTCTTTTGTGAAAGATGGAACATCCAGAATTTTTGCTGGCTTTACAAGAACCTTCATCATCTATAACAAATTATACTAATGATGAAATACAGATAAACAGAAAGTAAAATAATAATTATCAGTTCTGTGAAGAGCATTTATATTTACATGTATTTCATTGGTAAGCTTGATGAACTTCTCAAGCTCCTTTGCACATAGCAATGGATACCTCTCTCTAGTGTCACACAAATCAAATAACACGTCTTCGCATTGTTGCTCAAGATCATCTAAATTCAGAACAAACAACATTATGAATAATTGTACGAAATATTTCCAATTTAGAATAATTTTTTTGGAAAAAGATCTAAGATCCAATTTATATTCTTGTTTTCAAACTGTTTTAATAGGGTCTTAAAATATCAATGCAGTTCTGTAGCTAGTATTCATAATAGATTCTTGTATATTTAAGATTGTCTTAAATCTTAATATATTTATTACTACATTTAAGATAATTTTAGGATGTTACGAATGAATCAGAAAGTTACATTAACATTTTAAGACATCACACAGATTTAAACACAGACTTAAAATAAAAATTAACTATGAATACTGAATTGGATTGACATCTTAAGATTGCACTATTGTATTTAAGACAATCTTAAATATAAAAATTGATTATAAATTGATGGCCAGGTTTCCAATAATAAAGCATAACATGGAACACCTACCCATTTCTGTATACATATAATTGGGTCCTCACATCTGATGTCACATCCCTGAGACCTTCATGCCTGTTTAGAAAACAAAAGCATCTTACAATACATGTAATATAATTGAAATACTTTATAAAAAGTGAAGTGTTTTAAATATATGATAAAGTATTTTACCCGAAAATTGAATTTTGCACCGAAAAAAGAAAAACGATGCTTTGCTTCGTTCTCTGAAAGTTATCAGAAATTCACGCCGAGATTCAATTTTAGTTTGACTCTTACAAGCACACGTACACAAAACTTCTGAGAGTATTTACATTAATTGAGGATTAGATTAGTCGTTTACAGCATTGGAATTAATGAAATCGTCAAGCGTGTTAACTCCATCAAAACTGTCGAGACGATTTGAAGAATATGGTTTGACAGTGTTGACACTCCCGCTATCAAAGGGACATTTTCTGGTCTTCGTAGCTGCATTGATAAGTGGGATTATGCACAGATTCTTGTATAATGCATAACACATAATGCATAATGAATGCCTAAGGAAATGACTTAACCAAAATTCTTTATTTCCTTCCTTTTCGTAAAATAAAAGACTCTGATTGCTTGATTTTCTTATGCTTCATATTTTATGCAATATATAAAAGTCTATGCTTCCCTCTTTACATTTTGTACATTTGATGCACAATACCGTTGCATGAAGTTGGCACATTTATTTGGATTTATATTCTGACATTTTAAAATAAAAGTATATCAAAATCAATATATTATTTGTATTTGCATAATTTGTATTTGCATATTATATATTTTATTATATCGCATCTTACATCAGCTTTTTTTCCTTTCTCCTAATTAAGAGTTGAATATGCATTTTAAAATGAGATGAAAATAGGTATGTTCACTGTTATCTGAAATACTTAAAAATTTGTATTTAAAACAAGATAAAAATAATTTAGGCCGCGAGCGTTGGAAAGAATGCGAAGATTCCGAATGCAGAAAGTGCAAAGTGCAAGCAACGCGACAAATCTATTAATAAAGTGAGCAAATTTACTAGGTGTCGACCAATGAAATCATAAATATTCTAGTGAATTTATTTTTGTAATTTTTAT